TGCTATTATCATTAATTACAGTTATTGTGACTATTGTCGTAACAGTTTTGGCGGACTCCAGAATTAATTTACAAATTAGTATCAATACTAATGATACTGAGATACAGTATTACCACGTATGATATTATTATACATAAATTATGCTTATTTAAAATTAAAAATTAACAAATATGTAATATACAGCAAAATTTGGCTAACTTAAATATAGCCATTGGGACCATTGGTTGTCTGGTATCGTGTGGGGGTATTTGGTTGGCATACAAACCTCCGTCAAAGTTTGCTTTTAGATATCATACACTTAAAGCATACGGAGTTATAATGGTGCTAGTAGCCAGTCCGTGTCTAGTATTGGCTATATTATTTGACCCAGGTTTATGGTGGTTGTGGTTGTCTACATTGTTGTTTTATGCTACGGGCTTCTGTGCTATGATTTTTGCGCAAATTAATAAAGTAATCCACAAACAAGCTGGTAGTTCAGTTAATAATTATGTGGTGAATGGCCAGGGGCATCAGGGACAAAATGTGGTTTATCAGTAAAAAGCATTAGATTAAAAATAAAAGATTACTTGTATATTATTATTTTTGCTAGCTAATACAAATCTTACTTAACTGTAACTAATGCAACTAAATTACAATAATATTACAATAAATGTATTGCTGTAAAATTATTTTATTTTAGACATACTTATAATGAGTAAGCTACTTATATAAAACTATTTTATAATTGTTGTGTAATTTGAAATTATTAATTTTAATAAAAAAAGTTTCCATTACCTCCAATAAATAAATTAAATGTCATGTTTTTACAAGTATACTGTCTGAAAAATATTGCATACAATTACTAATATTATTTTCTAAATTGTATCGTGGCAAATCAATATTAGTTTAATGTGTATTTAATTTATATACTTGATTATTTACATTTCATATTAGATTTAATAGTGTAATATTTTATTATTAATTATTAATAATGAGCGAACCAAATACACGTAATAAAAGCCTGGATCACTGGAAATGGTTATTATTCGCCTTGTTTATAATAAATATAATAGCTACGATATTAATTATCACATTTACCAGCTTGGGAACTGATTCACAAACCACTTCCTATTATTGTGTACTGTCTCAAAGTGCTCAGGTAAATTTTTTTTTATTAATTTGGCTATAGTTTGGTATAACAATCCAGTTATTATAACAATTTAGCGAGCACAGCCAAAAATGTTTATAAAGTTATAATTAAAAATCTAAACTATTAAAAACTCGACTTTTTTATCTGATATGTCTATAAATATTAAAATTTCCTAATTTTCAACAATCAATAAACTTTTATTTTACAACCAATAGGCAAGGTTAAAGAATCTAGGTATAGCCATTGGTTGTATAAGTTGTGTGGCTTCATGTACAGGCGCTTGCGTGGCATACAAATCCCGGGTCCGGTCATTACATATTAATGGTATCTTGATGTCAGTATTGGGAGGCGTTAGTGTATCGTACGCTGAATTGTCCGGGGTATCTATGGTGTGGGCGCTGACAGGGCTATTTTACTTGTGCGGAATTTTTGCCATTATTTTATCCAAATTAATTGAGCGAGCTAATAGTGTTAGCTCTGGAAATGTGGTCACTATGGCAGTAGATAACCGGAATCAACCAAATTATGGTTATTCATTAAATAATATGGTTTCGCAACAACCGGCACAAATGTCTTATATTCAGCCAGCATATACGTACTAGTAACTTATACTTATAGTAATTTATCACTGTTTAAGTGGTATCACAAGATAAACAGTTATTAATAGTATATTAATTTTTAGAAACTACAAAATATCTATTGCTTATTGAAATACTTTTGTTTTCATACCGATAACTGTACTACTAATACTAAATGTACTTGTACATTATACAGTATTTCACTGTAGTGCAATTCATTGAAATGCATCCTTTATTAAATTAACATTTAAAAATCAATTGTATTTATTTATAAGCTATTTAAAATGATTTATGGTGTAAGTAAACTCAATAAATATTGATATATAAATTTCATTTTATTGTAGGTCTACTACAGATATAATGTAGAAATGCTTAAATATGAGCAAATGTTTAACACTGTAAACATACGATTAGATAAAAATGATATGATAAATGAATTTAGTATAAATAATAAACATTTTATTGTTGCTATTGCAAGTATTAATACATAATACAGTATAATACAGTATAATAAAACATAATGAATTTTACGTCTTACAACAAATATTAAATGTAAAAAT